GGAATTGTAATCCAAAAATATAGTAATATGGGTTTTAATGTTTACCAATATAGTTACCTTTATCTGTATTCTTTATATTTTCATATGGCCTTGAATTACTGTCTAGTATCCTTTCATTTCAGGCTGAAGGATTCTTTTTAACATTTCTTTTAGGCAAATCTACTAGCAACTAACTCCTTTTAGTTTTTCTTTATCTTGGAATGCCTTAATTTCTTCTGCATTACATGAGGATAGTTTTGCTGGATACAGACTTCTTGGTTGGCTTTTTTTTCTTTTTCTTTCAGCACTATAACATGTCATCAAATTGCATTCTGGCTTTCATATTTTCTGTTGAGAAATTTGCTTTAATCTTAATGAGGATTCCTTATACAGAATGAGGTGCTTTTCTCTTGGTGCTTTCCAGATTCTTTGTCTCTGCCTTTTAATGATCTCTTTAGAGCTTATCATATTTGGGAGTTTATTAAACTTCTTTGATGTGTAGATTTCTGTCTTGCATCAGATTCAGAAGTTTGGGGTTATTATTTTTCAAGTGTTTTGTTGTCTCTTCTACTTTGGAGCTCCCATTTTGCTTATATTGGTATCCTGTTAGGCTCTGTTCATCTTTCTTCATTGGTTTTTCTTTCATTTTCTCAGACTGGATCATTTTAGTTGTCTTCAAATTTGCTGAGTCTATCTTTTGCTTACTCAACCCATCTTCCGTTGGTTGATCTTCTGTAGTAAATTTTTTATTTTAGTTATTCTACCTTTGAGATCCCTAATTTCTTTTTGGTTCTTTTTTATAACTTTATTGTTTATATATCATTCTCCTGGTTCCCTTTTTGTTCTTTGTCCATGATTTTCTGTTAGCTCTTTGAGCATATTTTAAAAAGTTGATTTAAATTATTTATCTAGTAAGTCCAATGTCTTGACTACCTCAGAAACTAGTCCTGCCAATTTATTTATTTATTTATTTATTTATTTAATTTTTTTGAGACAGAGCCTCAAGCCATCACCCTGGGTAGAGTGACGTGGCATCACAGCTCACAGCAACCTCCAACTCCTGGGCTCAAGCGAGTCTCCTGCCTCAGCCTTCCAAGTAGCTGGGACTACAGGTGCCCACTACAATGCTTGGCTATTTTTTGGTTGCAGCTGTCATTGTTGTTTGGCGGGCCCAGG